TATGTCTTAACATACTGGTATTAGGATGAAAAAGATACCCTTTAAGGGAGAGCTCCTTTGCTTTGATTAACTTATAATTATCTGTGTAAACTATGCTCAAAGACCAGTTAGGTGTAGTGGTTAAGGCACCAGCCTAGAAACCAGAACTCAACTAGCAGTGAGTTCTAGTCCCAGTTGTGCAAACTCAAGATGATATTCAAAAGCAGAAAACAACAGTTGGATTGGATTGGCAATTTTGGTGAATTGAAACTTGATCTGTTGCTGGCTGATGTGAAGAAGTATTTGGTTTGAAAACTATAAATCTGTCTGAAAAGATTGAAAAAGAATATGAATATAAGAAATTCGGAGATAATGGAATTGATGAAGTGTGGACTGGACGTTCTTGGCAAGAGGAATATTGTGCTGTCAAGAATTATTCAATAATGGATGTTGCGGAGATATTTACAATGAAGACGTACGAACCTAGGAAATGAGATGCAATTGTTGAGAAAGTTTCCCATTAAAAACCAAAGGAAACGTTTCATTATTAAGAATCAAATAAGGGTATTTGATCCTGGACTGATCAGAGATAATGATTGGAGTGGTTTGTGGTAAATAAGAAACAGTGTAGACTTTCTATTACAAGATTATTAACATGTCTATGGAAATTCTCTGTCATCCAGATCATAGTTGTCCCAAAGGTATTTTTTCAAGAGACAACTGGACTTTCTTGTTCTTCTCTGAAGTTGAAGAAGCTTCTTGGAGAAGCGAAAGGTCTTCAAAGAAAAATTTTAAAAAGTCCAGTTGCCTCTTGAAAAAGTATCTTTGGGACTGTTAACAGAGTCCTTTGAATTTTAAGTTCATGGTTGTTTAACCTGTTAACTATTTTTTCTTTTATGTATGTAATGTATGACAGGTCAGTTGGGTTGAAAATAGATGTAGCAGATTATAAATTTTGGACCAGGTTTGCAAGTTGGGAAGCTATCACAGTTGCAATAGTGTTCAACTGGGGGTGGTGGATGTGGACAGTATGCATTTTTGTCTTTTGTGTTTCAACCGTGTTTTTATGTTAGTGTAGTTTTGCAAGCATTGTCTCTGCTTTTCTTCTCTTGGATTTGTACTTCAATCTTTTGAATAAAAGAAAATAATTTTAAAAAGAACAGTTCACTATGATATAGGAAGTATTTAGAACTAGACTTACCACCACAATTGAGCCCATTTCTGTTGCCAAGTGAAATATTTGTTAAGTGAGTTTGCTCCATTTTGTGATCTTTCTTGCCACAATTGTTAAGTTCATCCCGACAGTTGTTAAATTAGACAAACTGTTGTTAAGTGAATCTCGCTTTCCTGTTGATTTTGCTTGTCAGAAAGTCACAAAAGGAATCATGTGACTCCAGGACACTGCAACCATCATAAATGTGAGTCANGATGGGTTTGGGTGGGGAGGATGGGGGAGGGGAGGTAAATATTTGTAAAAGCTTTTTAAATTTTTAATTAAAAAAAAAAGATCTGTAGATCTCAACTCCCAGGATCCTCCTGGGAATTTGAGGATAAATTGTATCTACATGTAACTACTGTAGCTGCACTTGTTGGCTGGGGAATTCTGGGAGTTGATGGCCACAGGTCTTAAATTGGTTGGTTGGGCACTCCTGATCTAGGTGTTTTGCAAAACAGCCTCAAAATCAGAATATATGCGATGGGTTTGAAGATTTTTTTCGCAAAGTGTTCCATATGATAATTTGGCGCCAGGGTGATTGACGGAAAACTTAAGACCTTTCTCCACTAAACTGCTTAAGAGGCCATGTCTTTCAAAGAAATTTTAAAATCTCTCTGTGCAGCTGCAGTGGTCACATATGGATACAATTTATCTTCAAATCTCCATTCTGGATTATATGCTATTCTAGTAAAGGGACCCTAATAACCCTAGTAGGAAATTGATTAAATAGCCCAGGCAGGCTAATCTCAAAGTGCCCATACAGGCTGAGCACAGAGCATGTTATTCTTAGCTTTGTTGTTTCTGGCAGCTTTTCGGTGTGAGCTTTCCTCCCCACCCTTCATCTCCTTTTCAGTATACAGTCTTGAATTTCGACTAGGGTCAGCCTGTTATAATTGTGGTTTTGTTTGCTACAAAAGACAAAGGCAATGTAGCATTAAGGCAAGGCTGAAAAATTTCTCCAGGTGCTTAGAATCCTAATCTCATTCCACCACAGGTGTAGGGCATTCTTTAAGAAGATTAATATAAAGAGTCATGAGCTTGTGGCATGGTAACGATTGAAACTTTTGCCCTAGTGGACAAGTGTAATCCAATTCCTGAAAGACCACAAATCACCAGTAACATTAGATGAGAATGTCACCCAGGGAAAGGGAATTCAGCTAAATTCTTCTGTCTTCTCCAATCAATAGGGTTGCACTGTTTTCTAATGGAAGGATGTTCTAATCAGATATACTTGCAGGTTAGTGTGTTTTTACCTTCTGAGCAAAGAAATTGCTATTAACTTTTCCATCCCGAGCTCCGTTGTGATCAGTGAACTCCATTTGTGCTGTGTTGACTTTGCTATGCTACAGATATTCCACTGAAAGGAAATGCTGGAGAACTTGGACTTTGTTATAACAAGTCTCGTGATGAAGACCCAAGCTGGACAAGCTTTCTCAAGTGTAGCTAAGGGGAAAGAAAACTAACTTGGCTGGTTAAACTCATTGTTACCACAGGCAATGTGCCAAGCACCTCAATGGAAGGGAAATGGAGCATGGTGTGTTTTCAGGATATATGGGAAGAGCTCCAGAGAACTGAAGCAAGTAGCTTTCTCATAGTAGAAGGATTGGATTGTTGGCAATTAACATTAATAATACATTTTGGGATGTTGATCATAAGGTGTGAGTCAGAAATATTACAGCCCTCCATTTTCAATGGAGATCAAAGAAACAGATAACATACTTGGGTTACTGTTTCTACTCAAGTAGGGTTTTCTGCCTTTTCTCTATAGAAGTCTGATATCGTATCAACTATTTTAGATCCAAGAGAATTTTTAGGCACAGAGAATTCTACGTTAATGCAACAAAGTAAGGCTGATCAGACAGGAAGAACTTGCAGCCTTGGGAGGTTGATCAACCACAAAAGCTCAAGTCAACAAAGCAGCAATGATGAAGACTGGGAAATGCACTTCTACAACTTTTGAAAGGTCATAGGTCTTCTAGGGATGCAGTGGCTCAGTGGCAAAGATGCTGAGCTTGTCGATCAGAGAGGTCGGCAGTTTGGCAGTTTGAATCTGCATAGTGTAGAATCCTAGCGCAGTGTAATGGAGTGAGCTCCTGTTACCTGTCCCAGCTTCTGCCAATCTAGCAGTTCAAACGCATGTAAAAATGCAAGTAGAAAAAATAGGGACCACCTTTGGTGGGAAGGTAACAGCGTTCTGTGC